GTGGCGTGGCGTGGCGTGGCGTGGCGTGGCATAGAGTAGAGTAGCGTAGAGTAGTGTAGAGTAGCGTAGAGTAGAGTAGAGTCGAGTAGAGAAGAGTAGAGTAGAGTAGCGTGGCGTAGTGTAGCATAGCATGGCGTAGTGTAGCATACAGTAGAGTAGAGTAGAGTAGTGTAAAGTCGAGTAGAGTAGAGTAGAGTAGCGTAGTGTAGAGTAGAGTAGCGTAGAGTAGTGTAAAGTAGAGTAGCGTAGAGTAGAGTAGCGTAGAGTAGCGTGGTGTGGCGTGGCGTGGCGTGGCGTGGCGTGGCGTAGCGTGGCATAGAGTAGAGTAGCGTAGCGTCGAGTCGAGTCGAGTCGAGTCGAATAAATTAGTAGAGTAGGAAGAACAGTACAGTGCAGTACTTACAGGGCTACATACAGGCAGTACAGGCAGTACAGGCTGAAAAACAGTACTGAAAATTTCCAGACTTTTTTGGGACACATTGCCTGTGTGATATTAATGAAACTCTAGGATAATTTCATGATTCTGGACTGCTGAGATGCTTTAGGAAACAAATCAATTATTGGAAATAAACACGGTGAAAAAGGTCTTCTTTGAATAAATTTATAATTACCATTTTTGTCTTTTGGCAAGGTGACATCATTTGAGGAAGCAATCCTGTTGAGCTGCTGTCGTCTAATGTTACAAGAAATAAAGACTGTTTGAAATTATCTAAACAGTTAAGCACTACATTTAGAAATCAATGCTACATTACGTAAACAAAATACAACATCCCACAAAATCATGCAATTTCCATAAAAATTTCTTTGAATATATATATATGTATATATAGTGTTCATTACATAGTGCTACCATGCTCTAAATATACCTTTACTGCAAAATACAGTGTAGCTCTAATCTTACTTTTCCTGAAATTCCTTGCTTGGAATAAGGCCTGCCTTGTCATGACTGTATCCATCCTTTCGAGCCTTGAAGATAGTAAATACTGTGTTTTAACTCATTTTAATGTTGAAACTCATTGCACAACCAGAAACTCCACTTCAGATAAGAAGGCTGGTTTTCCGTATTTTCAATAATTCACGTGTCTGTCTAACAAAAAGTGGAAACATGCATGCAGGCCCAGTAAACAGTCTTGCCTCCCACCAGTGTGGCTTGGTGTCAAATCCCAGACCAGGCATCATTCATGTGGGGCAAGTTTGTTGCCCTGGGGGGAGTTGGGGGGGTACTCTACCAAACTCTATACGGGGAGGCTCCGCCCCACGGTCCAACCCCTTGCCCTTTTGTATACCATTTTTACAGAGAAGGTAGCCCTTTCATATATCTTTAACTGACAAAGGTACCCATACAACTTCATAAAAGCAGAATGAAGAAGTTAAAAGTTGTGGAAGTACTACAATATATAGTGCATGGTTTGAACATGAAAGTGATCAGCACTAAGAGGACTACAGTCAAGATGGGTTTGTTACATTAAAACACGCATGTAGTTTGACTTCCATTTTTGGGCTCATGAATTATTAATGAGTTTAAAAACTTGGGCAAGCGGGGAAGTGCCCCAGGCAAGCAAAATTTGAGAGTTACCTGCCCAATGGGCAAGGTGGAATTCGAATATTTGTCGAGCCCTGTAGAAATGATTATTTTTGAGAAGATATTTAAAACAGTTGTACAGAAGTTTGCAATACGATGTAAATAATCTTGGTACTAGGTTTTTGTCCACTTGTTACTCGAACTTCTGGTGGATTCTATCTCAAATTGTTTTAAATGCACTTATGGTTTTAGAGGTTACATTAAATTTCATTTTATATACTTTGTTAATACGCATATAAGGACAATAAAACTCCACAAACTTAAAGCAAAACAGTCACCTGGGCAGTACTTGCATGGAAGTCTATTGTTATTAATCTACTTTTTAATGATAAAGCTCACCTGCCACCAATTTGCGTCATCCATATTCACCACATGAAGCACATCACCAGTGCTGAAAGCTATGCCCACCTCCTTGCACGGTATCAGTGGATCTTGGAGTGGGTTATAGTCAAAGAATGCTCTTAAACTAACCTTTGAGAAGCACACAAAAAATTATCTCCACAAAGGACAATTATGACATTGCTGATCCTAGCAACACTGTGTAGTTCCAGAAAATATAAGACCCCCCTACCCCTCTGGAAATTCCAGTTAAGCTTCATATATTTCTTTACATTTTTGGGTCTTCTGGACCCCCCCCCCCACCCCCCACCCCCTGGGGGGAGTATAGATATTTTCTGGAACTGCACATTCAGCAGTAGTTAGAGCACCAGTGACGGGTATCTAAGAGGTTAATAATAAAGGTTTGAAAAACAGGTGGACTCAGATTTTATCTTAAAGTTTGTCCCTGACTCAACACATGATATGAAAATTCAATCGTTCACTAACTGGTGCAGTTTTACACCGACAGGCCAATATATAATCCACAGGTCACAGGTGCAGGTCACAAGTTGCAGGTTGCAAGTTGCAGGTCACATACCCTGCAAGACAGAGATTCCCTTCTCTTTCTGCTCGGTGAGAGACAAGAGGTAACCTCTGCTTACAACCACTTGATTGTTTGATCAGCTGCAGTCACAATGAGGGATGAATGAAGTAGAAATGCTGGTTTCTAACAAGTTTTTACTGGCTTCAAACTTATACAAGACAGATAGAATTCAAAACATGTTTGTGAGACTGCCGACAATATCTGCTGCCCTATGATTGCCTAAAAATTACAATTCTTATTGACAACACTGCACTGACATGAGTTAATCACCTATTCATCAAATTCAAAACTTTTGATCAATGAATAGCTGGCAATTGGTCTTTTGCTGTTTGCACAGTTACAGAATCCATTGCAGCTGTACATTGATTCCCCTCAACAAGCTATTTATTGTCAAAAGAACATGATGTGAGGGTTGATAGTTTTTAATTTTTCCAAAACAGCTTGTTAAATATCTGCAGCTAGCTTGCAGTTTGCAAAGCATGCACTGGACAGTGTGGTCTTTAGTTAAGTCAATTTTTGTTTAATTCGTCTGTTTCTTTGTTGCTAAGTACTTTGTACAACTTCACAAAATTTTTTGTTAGTAGTTTCGCTAAAAAAAACAAGTAGTAGAAAAGTCCTAAATATTACTATTTAATCAAAAATAACTTCAAAGTTGATTGAGTATAGTCACTTTACATGACACATGTGGCGTGCTGACGTAGTTTACGAATGTGACCTGTGACCTTTGACCTGTAGATTAATTAGACCCACCAGGTTTACACATGGCAAGACACTAACTTTGGTTTCTCTGGTAAGTTTCATGTCTTTCTTGGCTGGTAAAATCGTGATGTCAACACTTCCAGTAACTCCATCCTTGTTGAAAAGAAGACATGGCATAATATTATTATGTACTGAACGGCAAATGTTCATGTAAATTTCTTATCTTTACCCAGCACAATGAAATCTACAGATCAGTGCTCAACCTATTTATCTATATTAAATTACAGCTGAACTGCCTGATTAGCATCATGGCAAAGTATTTTGGTACTTTTTGAAATCAACTTCTTTATAAGAAAAACTTTCCATCAGATGGTCAAACCAGCCAGGCAAAATCAGCCACACAGCTAGTCAATTTGCGTGGTGCCTAGCCTATAAAGAAATCCCTGAGTGCTTACACAGAGTCAAGCAGGTAATAAATAAAATCATGTTATATATTTTCCTTTAGTTGGCAAAGAGAAAAATAATCACTTTTAATTACATTTACCATCATGTCTGCAACTTCATTAGCAGTCATTCCCTCAACTGATCTGCCGTTTATTTCTAAGATTTCGTCATCCATACAGAGGGTAGCTTGAAAGAGTTTAAAAAGTCAACATACATTATTGGCAGTGAGTGTCATCATCGACATCAGGTCATCATCATTATTAATTTCATGTGCTATACAAAAGTATACATTAATAAAATTGACTTCAGCAATTTAGACAGGGCAAGGAGACCTCCGGAAAAGCACCAGACTCATAAGGGAGGCCAACTTGATTGTCAACATCCTTTTATTATGAGCTGTGTATGTGCAGCTGGAGAAATCAGGAGACAGATAGCATATTTTGCAAGGAGGCCATCCTTTAGTCTTTCATTGGCAAAATAGGGACTTTTTAAATTGTTAAGTGCATTCAAGGCAATCAAGTTATAAATACCTATTTCATTAATCATTGTCACAATAATCTAAAAATTGTTCATAAGTAATTTACTCACCAAAGGTATCTGCCAGACCTCCACTTAGAATTCGAGCAACAATAATTCTATCTGTGTTTCCTTCACTCCTCAGAGCTTTTACAGTAATCCCCTGTAATAGAGATAATTTTGATTATAGACAGCATAATTTATGCATTCTGAACATCTGTCAGAGCAAGATTGTTCACTTTCTACAAATGAAAAGTACATTTTAATTCAAATGGCACATGTGGTGAATACTTCTTGAACACAATAATTATAGCATCTTGCAAAATTAAACGGTTGAAATTCACCAGTGACATTGTCTCAAATGGTGTCATGATGCTACTTTCATAGTAACGCATGTTTACTTTCAGCTGAGAAATGACTACAGAAGAGAGGTAGTCACTACATGTATAAAAGAAAGTATATTATTTTATTAATAATTCCCAGTTGTTTGATTGTGACATTTTAAACTTTTACTCACAAGTGTTTCTCTAGAATTCCTGAACATCCTCATAGTCCTGACAGCATTGTCAGAAGCCTCTGCCATCATACCCTCCTCCTTGTGTCCCTCTACATGCACAATTGTCTCCTTGACATGTTCTTTGTTATCACTCCTCGTAACATGGACATTCTGGACACTTTCCATGACATCCATCTCATTATCAATGGTTTTGTCAGTTACAACTGGCTCAAAAGCAGATTCCTTGTTGTTTGTCATAGTCAAGTTCAAGTGGAATGCATCTGCATTTTCATTCCTCAGGTCTGCATTCCTTGTGTCTACAACAGTCACCAAGGATGTCTCCACGTCAGAGTTCTCCTTTATTTTGTTACCATCAGTACCATCTATTTCTTCTGTCTCATCACTACTGCTGCTCTGCTCATCATTAATAGTAACAACAAGAACAGTACTGGTATTCTTGTCATCATCCATGTCACTATACTTCTCAACCTCCATTTCCTCTATTTCATGGTTTTCTACAGCTACAATAATCTCATCTTTTTCTGGCTTCATGTCCAAGTTAAACAGCAACTGTTCTGAAGACACTTCATCGTCAGGGACTATTAAAGTGAAATCAGCTGTTGCAATTGAATCATAAGCCTGTAGCAACCCCTATATGCAAAAAGAAACACAACGATTGATGACGGTGATGATGATGAGGAGGAGGAGGAGGAAGACAACGACGGCCTTCATTTACATGTTAACATGATACATTTTTAAAGCCTAGGCTTGTGACGCTGACTAAAAATAAATACATTCAAAAAATACACTTGATAACACTTAAAATCCAAAAATCCAAAATTCTATAATCTCTAAACCTGTATATATACAAAAGATAAATAATTACATTAAAAGTATGCAAAAGCACTTTGTTTAAAATGGACTAATGATGCTACCCTGCAAGCAAAGGTCTCTTCAATCTTTCTAGAAAAGTCACCTCCTCTTCCTGACTTTTCTTGGAAGATTGAAGGGACCTCTGCTCACAGACTATATTGCCGCAAAAAGAGGTCAAACTTAAAATATTAAAAATATTTCCTAGTTAAAGTGTACATGTTCTTTTAAAACAAAGAAGCCAAATAAGTTGTTATTCTGAGATTATAATATTCTTAAACTGCAGACAAAAAATGTTGGGGCAATATTAAAGCTTCAGAATGCAGGGGAGGCTGAACCCTGGGCATTCATAGAACTGTACCTTCAAGTGAGGTTTCCTTAAAATATGTTGTAGCTCTTGAATTTCTTTGTTTAAACTCGTAAAAGGTAGAAGACTCTCCACAACCTCAAAGATAAAAAAATCTTTTACATATACTTAGTTCCTCCTGGACCTGAAGTGCTACTTTACGTGTGTTTATGAATCAACACAGGGAACTACTCAGAACACACACAAAAAGAAATTTAAACAAAAAAATATGATTATTTTGCGACGTGTTTAAACATGTTCTTGCAAAATTATTATAAGAGGAGAACCACAGCTTATGAAAAAAGCTAGAAATCTGATGAATTACAGAACAAATATCACACTTACTGACTAGATAGTGTGCTCTCAAGAACGTAAGGCACGTAGACTTAGCTACCCTGAAATTACTGAAATAATAGTTCTAGAATATATATTTCATTTTCAGCTGGAAGGCAATTGGTTTTCAGACTGAAAAAACTTTTTGAACTGAACCTCAATGTACGAAATACTTTCCTCCAGCAGGTCAAACCAGGAAGGCAAAATTGGTCTCACAGACAGTCAATTTAAGCAGTACCCAGCCATTAATGAATTTTAATGAAATCAATTCTAATTTGACAATAATGCAATCTGATTGGCTGAGTGATTGGTCTCTATCAGCAATTAGTATGCAATGCCTGGAGGTTCTCTACAAAATGGCAACATTTTCTGGCCTTTCCAAAGATTCGTCAGAACCGAGAGATACAAGATAAACAAATTTCTGAGAAAGGTTGACATTCACAATAACTTGGAACTGTTGAAAAATAATTGAAAATATTGTTTTTTTGCAGGAAATTTAATAAGAATTCTGCTAAAGCAATTTATTAATATCTATTATTTACTCTCAATTCCTGTAAGATTATCTATTTAACAAATAGATTCCATGTTGCCGTGCGTCTGTTCAGTAATAGATCACAGATGACGTCAAAATGTGGTAAGAACA